ACTTCAATAGTAGAGTGCTTGTCTTGCTTGTACTAGATCCAGGGTTTTATCCCCAGCAACCCCCAGAAAATCTCTGTTCTCATGTTCCTCAGTCTCTCGAAGAGGAAGGTGCTGTACAAACACACATGGTAAAGTGTGCACTGCGACAGGTGGTAGGAAGTGCTCTGAAGAAACTGAAATTACAGGATGCACCAGGACCGCTCCCACGGGGAAGAGGCATCAGTGCTGCTTTTTTAAAACTGGGCAGTCAGGGGCCAGGGATATAGCTCAGCGGCATAAGCGCCTGCCTGGCAAGCGCAAGGTCCTGAGTTTAATCCCTGGTACTGCAAAAAAAACCAAAACTGGGCAGTCAGCGCTTCAAGGCCCTGAGTTCAATTCTCAGTACCAAAAAACAAAAATGAAAAATCCTGTGCAGTCAGAGAAAATTCCTGACTTGATTTGTACTGGAGCAAAGACCTGAGGAGATGAGTACGGGAGCAGACAGGCACCTGATAGCAAGAGTGTTTCAGGCAGAGGCACCAGTAGGTGCAGAGAGGGCTTTTTGCCAACATTTTGCTATGAAAATTTCCAAATATATCACCACCACCATCACCACCACCGAAGTCTGAAAAAACTGGAAAGCCAAATGCTTCCAATTCAGGCTTACGGGGGAGCCTGATTAAATTAATAGATTCAACAATTAATTTTTTATGTGTGGGTTTTTTTTTTTTTTATCTTTTTGAGACAAGGTCTCACTATGCAGTTCAGGCTGGCCTTAAACTCATTTATGTAGCCCAAGCTGGCCTCGAACTTGTGAGGATCCTCCTGCCTCAGCCTCCCGAGTGCTGGGATTACAGGCATGTACCACCATGTCTGGCTCAACAATTAACATTTTACAGTGCTTGGTTTTGGACTCATCTACCTTAGCTCTCCAGTGCTTTTGGCACCAGGTGAGCTGCCTTGCCGATCTACAGACAAAACATGGAGAGCTGGCGTCAGGAAACAGGAGCCTTCTGCAAGAGTGAGAGCAGGAAGAGCAAAAGCTCTACGTCTGACTGAGGGCAAGTGTGGGGCCCGTCCCTTGTCCCTTTCCTGGTGGAGACCTTGTGTTCTGTGAGCCTTCTGCCAAACAGGGAGTCCCTGCTGCTTCCTTGGTGGGGCAGGATCAGGGTGCACAGGGGCTTGGAGTGCCCTGGAGCCCGCTGCTGCTCTGCTTAGTTTGCCAGCTGGTAAGCACACTATCAAGAGCTGGCAGAGCCTGAAAGTCTTTGGTGTTGCTTTAGCAGACATCTGGGGCCCTCGGCAGGTGGGTGCTGGGCTGCCTAGTCCTGGGCTCAGGCCAGTACAGGTCACGTTCATTTGTTCCCTGCCCAGAGGAGTTTCTTCTTAAGGAAACTCAGCTTATTTTTTATGTATTTTGTCTTTTTGAGACAGGGTCTCGCTATGCAGTTCAGACTGACTTTGAGCTCACTTTGTAGCCCAGGCTGGTCTCAAACTCGAAACGATCCTCCTGCCTCAGCCTCCCAAGTGCTGGGATTACAGGCGTGCACCGTCATGCCTGGCATCCAATTCAGTTTGTGACCAGAAATATGGAAAAAATTAAGTTCATGAACCAAATACTGTACATATAGATCTGTACTGTACATATAGATCTGTAACTTTTTTTTTTTTAACTAAACAGTGTATCCTGTACCTTTTTAATTGTTTTTCAGTATTGGGGGTTGAGCCC